ATCTATGGAAGTAAAGCAGTTTCACATTTAAAAGCCTCGAAGGAATTAACCCTGTAGGTCTAAGAGTTACTGCCTTGGGTAGGGCTGGTCCAGAGTAAGGCTTGCCCAGAGAATTCCCACTGTATGATTGAGAGGAGCTACAGTGTAGAGGTGATGGTCTTGCAATAATTTAGCACAGGCTTTGATACACCAAACAATAAAGACCTGTGTTATGGAAGAGACTCTGAATTGAACTCACCCTTCAGGCTTTGGGATCCTGTTGGTGTCCAGACGCTGGTTACTGGCTTTATTACGCTACAACTTCTTGCAGACCCAAGGCCTGGTAAGGAAATTGGTTGTTGCAAAGTATAAATGTAAAAACCTGTGGTAAATGTAAACACCTGTGGTGTTTCTTGCCCATGGATCCTGAAAGAACAGCAGAAACCTCCCTGCCTGCTCCCTGCCTTTCTCTGCCTTGTCTTGCTTGGAACGCTGCTGGTGCCTGTAAGGCCAAGTTGAGCAGGACCCTCTCATCTTCTTTAGGAACTTTAGGCTACTGATTGTTTTCTTAAAGCCAGTGAGCAATATTTAAGGTGTGCTGCTTTGCATACAAATAAGTGTGATTGGGACCCCTCTCCAAGATTACATCCTGCACACGTTGGGAGGAAGAAGATTTGCTATCTTCACAGCTTTTACACAGAACGCTAAGGTCCAGCCAGCAGGGCACCCCAACCAGGGATACTCACACTGCCCTTGGAACAGGGTCTGTGATTGCCAGGTCTGGGGAGCGGGCAGAGAGAGTGAAGCTGCACCAAGCTCTGAATCCCGGGTTCCATTTGCTCATACCCATCTCCAACCCAGCACTGGAACCTAAGGGTATGGGATATATACCTCAAACAGCAACTCACAGACTGAGGAGAAATGCAGCTGAATGTAGATGTCTTGAAAGTAGGGGGTGTGGCAAAAGAGGACTGGTGAAATAGAGAGCCAGATGGCAATGCAGGTTGATCAGAAGGTAAAAGTACTTATATCTAAATACTCTGTTTATACTGGAAAATGAGCGGTATATATTTTGAGGCAACTCTCAGAATATGTAAACAAAAAGGTAACAAGTGGCAGCTATTTTTTACTGTCTGGAGTTCTTCCACCTGCAGATTACTAGTAATGGTTTCTGGTTAAGAGCTACACTGGAGATGAATGTTATGTGTGTCCTTGCTTATGTGCACACACACATATATAATAATAATATATTGCGTCTGAAGTCTTGGAATCTTTTCCTCACTTCCTTTTGTCCTTGGGTCAATCATTGGCTACTGATTGTTTTCATAAAGCCAGTGAGCAATATTTAAGGTGTGCTGCTTCCCCACTCTAATTTTGTAGCCATACTCTGAATATCCAAATGAAAAATCAGAAACTCAGAAATTGTTTTTTCTACGATTATCAGGGCCGATAAGTGTAGAAGTTCATTGCTGTATTCATGTAGTTGGAGACACACCTATGCAGCTGATTTTGAAACACTGTAGGCAAGGCAGTTGGAATGGGATGTAAGACGAGGCACATAATTTTCTTCCAATGCTTGAATGAAAACCTGAAGCCTTTGACGGGTGTAAGATGGAGCGGGTGATGCAGGAGGCTGGTTTGTTGGGGCTTTTTTTCCCGCTCATTTTTGTTTTCCTCCTTCTGGAAGTCTCTAGCTGCACCTTTGCGTTGCTTATGTTTACAAAGTTGATGGAACGTCCCTTTAAGGGAGAAATACTACCTCTTACTTAAAAGGACCCAGTCCCATTAAAACGCACTCAACTTCAAGACGGAGTTTACAATTGTAAATCAAATCTGAAATCCTGATCCCCCGGGGCTTAACTGTACCGGTGGTGAACTGGCGCCCAGAGGGTGCTCGCTGCAGTGGGAGGGCAGGGCAGGGCAGGGCAGGTCTGTGGTGCTTCCAGGGCTTTGTAACACAAGTTGTGACAACAACTACCAGGAAGCCCATTTTCTAGGCTCCAGTACTGCGGGGCAGCGAAGGGCTGCCTGGTGAGGAGAAGATTATGTGAGGAACACACCGCTCGGCTGCGTCCTCTCACGCAGCGCTGCAAGGCAGTTAGTTACCTGCATTAGCAGGGTAAACAGTTTGTCATTGCTGCTATGGAAACAGCGCCTAAAACGGGCCCAGCTGCCTTTGCTGTCATCATGGTGATGCTAGAAATGTTTTTGTCTCATCCAAATTTTTATTTTAGGCCGCTCACAGCAATATTTTCTATAGAAATGGTCACCAATGAACTTTGTCTGGAGGAGGCCATTTTTCCTGTTAAATAGAGATCAAATTTTTATTTTAGGCCGCTCACAGCAATGTTTTCTATAGATATGGTCACCAATGAACTTTGTCTGGAGAAGGCCACTTTTCCTATTAAATATAGAGACCTTTGAGCTTCTATGTGAAACGTTTAGATGACTAGTTGATGGCTGACACGGTGAGTGAAATAGGCAGTAGCTGCTGGAGATGCACAGAGATACCAGATTATTTTCTCTGGACACGAGTTACCCCCAGCGTTTTCCTAGTGAGGAAGCAGATCAGTGTGAAATAGAAGCCAGCAGGAAATCTCACAGGTGTGTGAGCTACGGGCAGGCAGCAGTGTCCCACTCAGCACAGCAGCTCTGGGGGGGTTACGGTGCAGTGAAGAGATGACTAAGGAAGGACAGTAACACACAAGTGAAATGCAGTTCTTCAAAGGCAGGCATGTACCAGCTGGCTGTTGCTGGTTCTGAGTTCTTAAATGGTTTTGGTAGCACTGAAGATCAAAAAAACAAATTGCTCATTTATGGCATGGCCCGTTCTAACCAAAACTCTAGAGAGTCTGAAAATATTACAACCTACTTATCAACTCCCATTAGCAAGTTTTTTGTTTTTAATAAATAAAGTCCCATAGAAACAGAAAGTATTTACAATTAGATCAAAATTCTGAATATAATTCACAAGAGAAAATGCTATTTTTTGAGAAAATGTTTTCATATCCTCATAACAGTCATTTGTTCTAAATTAGTACAGAGCAATTGTCCATTAAATGAACATTTTTCCCTTAAGACCGATTCTTGTAGAAAAGTATTTTAGGCAAAGCTTCCTAACCATGATGTAACCATTTAGAATCAGAACATTTCTGTGATTAGTAATTCACATAAAAAATTAACATTTTCCATGGCTTGAGGAAAACATGATGACTAACTGTCAAAATGTAAGAGAAGACAGGACCTAGGGAGAACAATATATTTTATTAGAGCAGCTTATACAGTTGAAAGAAAAGGAGAGGCTTTTTGGGCATTCAGTCCCTTCATCCTAATAAAGGGTAACACCTGTTCCTGAAAAACTGTCTTCTCTTTTAGCCTTTAGACCATTATGGCTTTGATTACACTCCCGCTCTCAAAATACGTGGATTGTGTAGGTCTGTATTGGACTGAAAGGCTTCAATACTGTCAGCAGAATGAAGCTCTTGGAGTTAACCTGTGTCTTGGTTACAAGGAAGTTTTTCCTGTCACACAGTCAGGAACTCAATTTCACCATCAGTGCATCTCTTCCACTGTCCTTTTCTAATGAGTTTTAGTATTACTTACAGAAGAACTAGAATTTTTCTTCATTTGAAACTAATTGTGAACTCTCCCTTCTAGTGAAGCCAATGTGAAATGCTTGGATTGAGTTTCTGCTGTGTGTTGCTATTGTAGGAATTTGGTGCTGGAGCTGGGGTCCCTCCCAGCACCAGTTCATCTTTGAAATGGCCTCCTACCGGAGGGGATGAACTCAGCAATTAATTAGAGGTTCTCCCACTAAGTGATAGATGGCAACATTTCAGATGGCTGGTGTCCAGTGGAAAACAACTTAAAACAAGGAGAGTAGATTTTCTTTTGAATTGTAACCACCCACAAATGATGCGTGCATGTAATTCCTGTCGGATCGCGATGCGCAGGGAGCACAACGTGCAGGAAACGTGCAATCTTGAGCAAAACGTGCAATATTCCATTGGCTGTAGGGCAGTCATGTCTGAGTGCCCTGAAATGATCTCATTGCCAACTGAGGGCACACCACAGCCTTTCGCTTCAGCCTCGCACTGACTCCCGTCTCGGTGCAATTTAATCTCTGGGTTTTAAACCTCCAGGCTGAGTGATCCAATTCCCCAAACTTCCTGGCGGGCATAATGCTTACTACTGACCACAGGCCCAGAGGTTATTCAGGTGTAGAAGGCATGAGCGTAAGGATTTATTTGAATATTTGCCTCTGTCAGGCTCTTTATTGCATAATTTGCACCAGCTTAGATATTCAAGGCCTATATTGGAAGTAAGGCCAATTTATACTCCCTGAAAATCCCACCTACACTTCCATTACCTCTTGGCCCACTGACATAGCACCACTGAACTTGTCTTGCTAAGTTTAAGGCATGTTTTTTGCAACACAAATAAAATGTGGACCTGGTGAGGAAAGGATATTCAGTTGAGGACCGCTCCTTACTTCATTACATATGTTACAATTAGTGGCTTTTTTTCCCAGTGTCCCCTCTTCTGGTGTGACATTATAGGGTAACATAAATAAGAAAATGAACAATTTTCAAACTCTGTCCATTTGGACAGAGTCAACAGAGTGACTGAAAGCTGCTGTGTGTATGTGTCTTGGAGCTCGGGGGGGCAGCTCCACAGAGCCCCCACCCAGATGGCTGCTCCACCTGCCTCCCGCTATTGTAAGCAGAGTCATCCAAAATACCCTGCTTCCTACCAGCAGTAGATGTTCCTTAATTAATTAATTATTGAAATGGCACCTAGTTTGGGGGTTTGCCCGCCAATGATGGGCCTAATTCTTCCTCACACTAAAACCCCTTTACAGAGCTCTATCAGTGTGCAGTGATGTTATAGCAGGCACAAATAGTGTCAGACTTCTAAGCTCTCATCAGAAGTGATACTAATCTGTGATTCCATTTCATTGTTATTTTGCTGCTGCCTTGGGAGCACAAAATCAAACATAATACTTAAAACGTTTCCTTAGAAATGTTGAAGGAGAAAGATTTTTATTTTTGAGTTGAGAATTTAACTGCATGCTTAACCAACTTCAGTGAAGCATCAATCATACTGGACAAGCAATTTTAGGAAATAAGATAGTTTAAAAAATTCATTCTGAAAATACTGCCAACAATTTAATGATATAGATATTTTTAATATTAAAAGTAAATTGTAAATGTGTCTTTATAAACAATATGCATAAAATAGATCTACTATACTAAGCTCTCTCTTTTTAAATGCTGTTTCACAGTAATTTCTTAGGTATGCAAAGTTTTCCCTCGAAGAAATAGTGCAATCTGAAGAACATACATTATGTCAGCGGATTAGAACTACTATGGTCATTAATATAAGTCTTTATAGATCTCTTGTAGGAGTGGATGAAGACTCATATCTGTCTCCGTTTTCTTTATTATTTGCAACAGCTGCACGTGTTCCGTTACAATCTGTCTGAGGTCCGTCATTTTCTGAAGCAACTTTGCAAACAGCTGTGATGACTCTGGATGATTCAGCTTTAGCTGGAGCTCCAAAGCTTGCAACAGATTGTCTTGGATGTCTTCAATGGGCTTCACATTTAACAAACCTGGGCGGTCTAGGGAATAAAAAAAAAGGGAGTTTAAGGTTATGAAAAATAAGGAAACATCGACCTCATGTATTATTTTCTTAAAGATTTCTTAGTATGTTAAACATTTACATATGGCACTTCCTGAGAACTCTTTGACAATGTCTCAGTGTATTTATTTGTAAGATTTTTCTCGAATTTGCTCAAAGAAGGTTTAGAACTAGTCTTAGAAAGAGCTCAAGTGTTTGGGTGGTGCAGATAGAGAGACAGGTTCATACAATATGACAATGCATTTTCCGCAGTTAAACCGGGAGTGTTTGTGGAAAGGAAGAGCGAGATATAATTGGGGGATAAACAGGCTGTATCAGGTAATTCACTTGTGGGAAAATCAACATATACTCAGGTGGACTTGAATGTTTGCTGCTAAGGTGGATGCCACCCTACCAAAATAAAGGCATTAATTCAACTTCTGCAGCTGAATCTGGGAGATTTAGAAACCCCAGGTTGAGTTCTTCCCCGCAGCCAAGTTGCAGTTGCTATTAAGAAGCCCGATGATAGCTTTTAGCACCAGCTCCTCAGCTGAGCCCCAGATGCACATGGCAGTGGAGGACGGCTCGATGTGGCTTGTACAGAAAATGCCTTTTCTGGGCTCATGCCAACAGATCTCTGCTCCATATGGAGGAATCTGGGAAGGATGTTTACAACCCGAGTCAGCTGCCTGTGCTGCCACAGCTGCCAGAGCCCAGGGTTATCCTCGGCCTATCTTATTCTTCAGCAAGCAGCAAAAGCTTTCTTTTTTAACCATTGCTATCTTTCATAATAATAGCTGTTCTGTTCTTTCTCTCTGCCCCCAAATACCTTTTTAAGTGGCTGCAAGTATTATTTAACATAACTTGTAACATTTGCTTTCTAACTTGACGTAATAAATTATTTAATTCTACAGCCATAAAAGTTAATAAAGTTGCTTAACATTATTAAATCCTCACATAGGATAATGACCACCAGTAGTTTGTTACTGCTAAACTACTTTGTACTGGGTAATGCATCCTGATTATCAGAACACTCCATGAAAAATACAGTCAATAATTTAAATAACATTTGCTGTGTAGCTATGAAATTCATTTCATAGGTTGGTCAATAAAAAGCAGTGCCTATAGCTAGCCTTAAATTCCTTCCCTAAGGCAATATTGCCATTTCAGAAAGGACAAGAGGTTGATCTATATTAAAAATGGAAATATAGGCTGTTATTTCCTATTGATCTTAGTAACCTTTCTGTGCATCCAGTTCTACTAACTCAGCTTGGCTGAGAGAAAACAAAGCTCTTTATAAATACATTGGGGTTTTATTTCACGGAGAAAAAAAATTGCAGTGTAAACTAAAAGGCAAAGTTGGCCCGAAAACAAATGAGCATAGACAAGGTGTGAACACATGTAGGTCACTGAGCAGGGCAGGGCAGTTAACTCCCAGAGAGGGGAGCTTTGGGAACAGGTTTTCACAAACAGGAATAATGGCAAGGTTGGATACGGAGGGGGGAGCTTGATATTTGTTTGACAGTGGTTTTATGAAGTGACTGCTTTCAGGTGTGGGTGATGGGACTCGGTGACCTATTTAGCTGCTCTTCCCATTTGTATTTCGTGCTAATAAGCTGTTCTTGTCTTGCAGAGGTCGCTTATTTATACCATTCAACTGACAATGCCATAAAATATGGTTCAGAAAGTCAGTAAGTAAATATCTGCAAGCCAAAAATCGTCCCCAAACAAACAGCTCCTGTTTATCCTTTCCTTTGGCTATATTATCAAGTCATTTTTTAAAGATACTTAGAGAATGTTTGATAAATTGTAGCTATATATTTTTAGATTACCTATATACGCTACATGTGCTGCAAAATCTAGCTGCTTTCTTTATATCTTTCAGAAACTTCCTGAATATCAGTACTTCAAATTTGTTAATAATTTGGGCTTTGGGTTGCGATAGCTTTAAATGTTACTCCTGCATTGCAGATGAACTCTGAACTAGCTGGGTATGACTCAGTGTACAGTGATATAAAAAAATCAAAAACCACAAAGACTGCGGCCTTGATTTCCTCTGAGATTAATCTCCATTTGCCCCCTGCTTCTTTTATGGTGGGAATTTTTGGGTGTGAGTTTTTCAGAAGCCAAACCCAATTGAAGCATTGCGTTCCCCAGCCCAGCTTTGGAGCCCAGGCAGCAAACCCAGGAGATCAGGTCTGAGACTGGAACTTACCAAGGAGCTCCCCAAATTTGGGTGCCCGAGGTCAATTGACGTTCAGTGAGACTTAAGCGTCTAAAAGCCTTAAGCTCCTTTGAAAATCCCAGTCTAATGGCTTTATAATGACCCAGTGGAACTAGAGTCAGGAAAGATGACTATGACAAAAGCCTAGGAGATCATCAGATGTTATTTTTAAATAAGCCGATTCAAGAGGAAGGAAAATTCCCATTGAAGGCAAGAGAGATTTTTCATGAATGAGAACTTCAGGATATGGACATTATTTTTTGGGTGTTGACAGTTTGCTGTACTTTCTCACTAAAAACTTCTTACAGAGGAAAGTGTTGTTTCTGTTCCAAGAAACATATCTAAATCCAAAAATAATAATAAATAAATAAGAGGCCAAAGTTTAACGTACAGGTACTATGGTATGTTTCAAATTGCTAAGGTGCTTTTAAATATATATGCTCCAGACTCATTGGGTTACTGCAGCAAAAGGTGTATTTTGTGCCATAAGGAGCTCCAGAGAGATGGGGCTTGTGGAAAAAAAAATTACAAAGGAAATGATTAACTAAACCTTGAGAAAAATTTCAACAGAGAATAGGAAGAAACAGCCCGGGAGTAAACTGGCTGTGCCACTGTGGTGGGGGCCTTCGCAGAGGCTCAGAGAGACGGAACCACCCTTTGAGAGCTCTGAGAGAAACCTGCAAAGGGAACTGCTGAGGGAAGTTGTAGCAGGACGTTCTGATGATCCGGTGAAACTGGGTTACTGAGGGCCAAAAGGCAGAGGGTTGCAACGATTAAAGGGGAGAGATGACTAAAAGTGAATTGGACACCTCTTTTAAACCTCTCCCATACGGAAAATTGTTAATTGAACTTTGCCTTTTTTAATGTGCCACCTCTTTTAAACCTCTCCCATACGGAAAATTCTTAATTGAACTTCGCCTTTTTAATGTGCCGTTTGCAACCTGCCTTTTATCCATTCAGACCGTGCCAAGGGAGGAACACATTCCTCTTTTTACTGTTACTTTTCTGTATTCAGTTTTCATTCATTTTCATACGGCTGTTGCATTTGGTTTGAAACTTCTGCAGGAAGCTGTTTGAAGTAAGAAAATGTTGACAGTGTCTGGGAAAAGCCCATAGCCCCTTAGTCTGGGGTGTCAACAGGATGACTTTGCATAAATTGCTGTTCCGTACTGTCTCGGGGAAAAGTATTTTGTTTGTTTATTTACTTACAGATTTGGATGCTTCTTTCACATTCCTAACAGTAATTACATTTTTTCCTCATTCCTCACAAGTTGCCATCTGCAAGCTTTTATCCTTACCTTTATATTTTAATGTGCATTTTGCATTTTAAATACAGATTCTAAAATCTGGTGGTGATAAAAGAGGCAAAGAAATGGCTGGCTGAACTTCTGCTACTTCTTTTGCTGAGGCAGATATGACTCAGCAGTTTGGGGTTTTTCTTCTGAGCCTGTCACATGTACTGTAGTCATCGGGATTTTGGTTCAAAGCCCACACGGATTATCTGCAGGTCTTGCTCCCATGAGGAACTACTTCTGTGTTGTAACAGGTTGGCTACAGCAGGATTTGTGTAGCAGGCAAATATGAACTATCTCTTGGTACTATTCAGTGATAAAACTTCAAATTTTGCTGATTTCAGATTGTAGCAAAATTCTTGAATGTGGTGTTTAAACAAGCCGCAGCGATTCACAGCTCAAAAGTTACTGCTGAGAACACACTCAGACAACACAAAAAGTGAATGTAGCAATGTTTCTAAATTCAAACACTAATTTGACTTCATGTTGACTAACAGATTCTAGGCCTTTTTGGGTGTACCCTGCTACAATTCCCAAACATCACTATATCCTAAAGGCTGCAGAAGATAATCTACAAAGGTTCAAGTCCGTGCATCACATGTAAACATGCTGCAAAATTCCCTTTTGAGCTCCCTCTCTATTTGACAACAACGCGCTTGAGTGAGTTTGCTCTGTTTATGAATGTGGATTAGCCCAATAAGGCCTGGACTATGATCTTTCCTGCCCAACTTGTTCTTAAACCTTCTTCTTACGATAAACTTCATTTTCAGCTCAGGTATATATCATATTTGTAAAGATGTGTTTGAAAAAACAAGGTAATATCCTACTGCCCACACGCCCTCTGTCTCCTCAGCATTACATTCAGAGCACTGGAGTTCCTTTGCATTTACAGTATCATTTTAAAGTGCGATAAACCGACAGTAAGAACAACTCTGCAGCTTTGTAATACTGAGTTCAGAGTAAAACAGAGCGAGGCTGCACCGAGCAGCTCAGAAACAACAACATGATTAACTGTGGCAGTGGGAGGACTTTCATTTATTACCGTTAATTTGTCAGCTTCTTTTTACTGTTAAATAGCCATTTTGCCTTTTTACGTATAACGCAAAAGCAACTCTTTCATTATCAAGAGGCTGAACTGGTTTATAGGATTTCTGGCAAATTCCAAACACTTCACAATGAAAAGTTTTCTACATGCAATGTTCCAGCTGGAATTCTCTTACTCTTTCTCTTTCCCTTCTCTCTTCTTCTTTTTAGAAAGAGAGAGCAGCCGCGGAGCCAGCACAACTCCCATAATTTTGCAAGGCAATGACAGATTCACTTAGAATTACAGTGTTTGGCTGGCTCTTTTTTTTTTTTTTAATTTCACGAACTGGATTTCTTTTAAGACATTTGGATTTCTTAAAGTGACTTAAACATTACAGTATGCTAGTAAAGTCCTTGGGGTTATATGAGCGGGTTTTGAAATCCTCTTTTCAATGAAATCAGCCCAGTTCAATATTCATATAGAAATTCATAGAAATTAAGTTCTGCAAGAACAGAGCTCTTACAGAAACAAGAGCATCTGAGAAATCGGGTTTCAGTTCCATACCACAGAAGATATTATAGTCCCACAGGTTTCATACAGTTCAATATATATCATATCTGACTGTAAATTCCGTCAGAAAAGCCATTCTCTAATTGGCAGCAAGGCTTAATTGTTTTCAAAATATAAACTCAGTTTTTACAAGTAACTATCATGCTTTTTTGAAAAGGAGAAGAAAAAGAAGGTCTGAGTAAAGCTATTGAAAGTTCTTTGTTATTGAGAAATTAAAGGATTTTTCTTGAAAGGACTGTTTGTATTTATAGGGATTTATATATTTACATGGATGTATATATTTATATGGATTTATATATTTATATGGATTTGCTTCAGAGTAATTGAAAAACTAACCATTAAAATTCAAGTAGTTCTTTACAGATCTCTGTTTACAAATTATTCTTTAAAAAAAGTTGCGTTGATAAATCTGGTTGAGCGTAGTCAATTTTTTTTCCTGTGAATCACTGTCCTCCTGAGATATAAAATGTGGGATTAGTTACATCATACCTATTCCCTCTAATGCAAAGCCAACACCGCTGAAGCACGGCAGACCTCGCTTTGCAGATTGCAAGTTCCCTTTTTTCAATTAGGAGTGGATTTTGAGGGGCCTGTTTCTCATCTGTCAAATTTCATTATATTGGAAAATGCAAAATATTGGCATGTTTTGCGTAGTGCCCTAATAGGCTTGTATAATTTCTCCTCTTCCATCAAAGCCAACCAAAAATCCACCGGTAACATATTTATGCTTTCTGAATGAATTCAGAGTCCTCAGGGATCGTTGTGTTCAAAGGTTTGCACAAGAAGAAGTCTTCTGGGAACGGTACTTGTTTGAAGTGGCTTTAGTTGGGCTAATCAACCATATTGTGATACCACATTTTTACCGAATGAAGCCCAACGCCAGAAGTCATTGTAGGTGATTTGAAATGAAGCTATACCTAACGGTGCACTCTCAACAGAATGTTTCTTTTCTGAACAATAGCATGTGGTTTGGGGTGTTTGATTGCTTAAACATCATTTAATAACAACATAGTCTGCATTGCTCTGTGGAGGAGCTGAATTCAGAACATTCAGCACATTCCTCCCATTGATATCTGCAGTACCGTTCTAAGCCAAAATACACACACATCGGTTGGGGAAAATTTCCTTTGTGCGACATCATTAATTTGATAGTATTGGCCAAAGTAAAAGACCTTCGATCTGACCCGAAATGTATATCTGATATCTCAGCTTCTCGGTGGAAAAGTTTCCAAGTCAACTAAACCTGGGGAGATGTCACTAATTCACAAAAGACAACAGCTCCGTCGCCTCACAACCAGAGAGAACATGGCGACTGTCTGCAAAAAAGCTGAAAAGTCATTGTCTCTTTTAATCAAAGGTTCGAACACATAGAGGCTGGTACCTGGGCTTTCAGATTCAGGCTTTGCTGAAAGCATGATGCGTAATCATTAATATGGAGAGAGCAGACACACAGTGCCTGGTCTTCTCAGGCATTAGGAGTGCATGGTTTTCCTGAGAAATGCATTCTTTTTCCCCCCTCTTTTAAAGGCAAACAAAACCTTGCATGAATGAAAAAACAACAACAACAATACAAAAACCCCACCATAAAATCCTGTGAGCCAAATGCCACATGTATTTTGAAACTGTTGTGGAGTCGAAGCTGTTTGTGTACAATTAGCAAGCCACACGATCTAATTGCAGGTTTAAAAAATCCCCATGCAGAATTTTAACTTTTAGAAGCTCTTGCCAGTGAAATTCCACCCTTCCTGTTTTCAGAAAGATAGTCCTGATTTTTTTTCTAACTAAATGAGCTGCTGATTCAGCAGGCATTTCCAGGTCCACCATTAATAGCAGGTCATTTGCATTTTCAGTTTCTGCCTGAAACTGAAAAAAAGGCAAACAACATCAAGAAAGCTGAAAACTAATAAAAAAACCTATGTGCAAATAAACTCACTGCCATCCCATAGCGCTGAGCACTGTCCTGTTTGGATAGGAATTAAAAGTGTCAATTCTATTATATGAGATATATGAAATAAGACAGCACTTACCTCCACTTAGTATAATGACAGCTATAAATATTGCCAGGTCGCTGTCATCTAATTCCAGTGCATTGAACTTCACAGCAAACTCAAACTTGGGCTCCATAAAGTCACAAAAAGGTTTTCTCAGGCTCTTCAGAAACTCCCGTGTCATGAATCCCTGTCCATCAGATATAAGAACTCCATCTTTATTCATCAGAGAAGCCAGGAGAGTATATATGATCTCATGGACCCCGTATTTCAGGAGAGTTACTTGATCATTCAGGTCAAGATTCACAAAACCTGGAATGTTCTTGGCAAATTCTGTAATCTCCTGCACTGCCTCCACGGAGCGAAACTGGCAGCGCTGGAAGATGCGAATGGCTACCTCTTTGTTCTCCTCCTGCAGCGGTGACACGTGCTTGCACTTGATCTGATCTTCTCCCATCATTAGAGAGTTCATGTCATAAATAACAAATGGCTAAAAAAGAAAAGGAAAAGACCAGTTAGTTTCAAACATCCTTTCTATGAACGTTTGACACCTGAGAAACCGAAGCAACACCCAGAGGTGTAACTCATCCGAAAACCAGAAATCTAGAAGGAATTTATCAAGGGCAGTTGACCCCAAAGGGTTAAATCTGCATAAACCTATTAAAGCAAATATCCTCACAATGTTAAAATGATTTACAGAGAGGACAAGTCGTTCCTAAGGACTTCTCACATGTTCCGTGAATCCACATGCCAAAAATAGGACTTTTTAATAATTAGGGGAGGGGAGTTAAGAAACACTATTCTCAACTATCCATGATTTTTGCCATTTTTCAGTTGGTTGTTTTGTTTTGTTTTACAGAAGTTCTGTAATACCAGAACTCAAAGTCTGGAATGCTTATTAACAAAAGATTAAAATCTTACTCCTTTTACCCAAATTTTACTGGCTTCACTAAACCAGACTGTAGCGCACAGTAACAAGGCTGCACTTCTGAGACATAACTTCTTTTTTGTAGAAAGACAGATTTTGATAACTTCACACTCTGTCATGTACTTTTCACTGGAAAGTGCTGGAAGTAATATTGACCTTATGGTATTGATTAGCTGATAAATTTAAAACCTTTTGCTCTTAATTCGTTTAAAATAACAAAGTTGGGATCTATTTAAACTCAACTTGTCAATGGGAAAGAAAACACAAATAACACAATGCAAACGACAGCAGCACAATTCAGAACACAAGGATGAGTCTGACTGTGAAATAAACTCCACTGGAATAAATCAATTTTGAAAGCAGATTAGGAAAAGAAGTGCCAGGAAAACTTTTGTTAGGATCTGGAAACAATCTGTCTCAGAATATGCAGAAGAAGCTTCTGGTTTTAAAGAAGGGAGTGAGTGAGGATTTCCCAAATATATCTGAAGAATCTTCTCCTGAGAGGGTAAAGGACTAAATAGTTCATTGCTGCACTGGACAAATATCACCTGATATTAATAGGTTTGTTAACCTATTAATACTTGATCAATTAATTAAAATACACCAACAATTGGGCTAGAGACATACAATTTTAAATTTAAGCTCTTTTATGATTACAGATTCTACTGCCTTATCCAGGTGGGTGTTCATATTGACTATGAGCTGCAGAGCAGATTCAGAGCTGACCCAAGCCTTCCCAGCCGGAGTCAGCAGTTCCCTCCCACAGCATCAGGCTCTGGAAACTCCTAAAATTCTATTCCTATTTAATTGAACCACTTTTGAAGTCTATCCAAAATGGTTTAGTTAAATCAATATTCTGCTGCTTACAAGAGCAGTGGAACTCGGGCTGTCACCTTCTCAGTGACCACGGGCAAACACAGCTCCAGAGCACGAGGTCCAGCTCAAGGGAGTGTCAGGTGCGACACTACTTTTCCTCTTGCTCTAGGATTTCAGTGTGAAACTGAAAAAATAAATGCATCGTGCTGAGAAAAGCCAGGAGGACAAGGTATTTTTCAAAATGCAATGCTATTTTGGCAGCAGAAAAAAGATTTTATACACGCCTGTACAAAGGTATATGCACACCTATGCAAAGCAGGGCAATAACAAGACTGTGGAGCAGGATTTTAAAATGCATGTTTTACCACTCGTAGGTCGTTCCTTTCTTTTCCTTCTAGAAGATGTTAAGTGGGAGCTCCAAGTACAAGAAAAAGTCATCTATTCTGTGCACGTACATGTATTTTAGGAAGGTTATACTATGTCACCAGGCTACTGACATTAGAAGATGAAAATCAAGAAAGAGTTTAAAATAACTAAAGAATTTTTTAATATAAAGATTCAGATGAACCGTGTGAGTAGAATCTTATGTCAAATGAACACTGGATATCCCAGAAGAGAATGAGTTACTAATTTTAGTTTTGACATACCCATTTAGCATATCCAATCATTTTCAGTTAATGCAGATGATAGAGCAATTAAAAAAAATATATAAATTTAAACTATGCCCATGGTAAACAGTTGGATATTCCAAAGCACAAAGTCCATTACAGTTCAATCAACCTAAAAGTTGTAACCATTAACTACTGAATATCACTCTTTTCAGTGTAATTTTTTAAAACACCTTGAAAAGTGGTAGCAATGAAAAGCAGAATCCTATGTCTATTGTTTTATTGCTATATTCTGATCGGGCAAAGTTTTAAAACTTTCAATAAAAATGTAGAATACCATTGACAACAGAGTCCATATTTACTGCACAAGAGTTAGTGCATTGGTGTAACTTCCAGCCCTGACCAAGCCGTGGCAGCCCAGCCACAGCCCACAGGCCAATGGGTTTGTAGGAGAGCTTCATAGAGCCCTACAAAGCAACAGCAGGATTTGTGGATGCACTTGGGATGCCAGAAACAAACTTCCCAGACTTCTAAACACACGCCTGGACAAAGGGCAGATGGGAGCACTGCAGGGGACCTGCCCAAACTGCTGTTACACCCCAGAGCACACACAGCTGCAGGAGAAAAAGGAGCAGGTCTCCTGGGGACGTTTTTAGGATGAAGAGGAGGAAACAAGACATATTGTTACACCCCCCACTTCTATTCTGTTTCCAGTGCGGGTACATAGTCATTAAGAACACACTTACAAAAACCTAAATTGCTGCATTAACTCTTCTCCAGTACCCCACGTCTCTGATACAGAGAGGGAACTGCAGAAAGACTTGGAAAAAGCAATGACCCTCCCTTGGACTCAGCGTATCATCTTTCTGCAGAATAAATAAACTACACTGGCTCAAACTGTATATACTCCATGATGAGAAGTTACTCAAATTGCATGTGTCCACCTTATCTCAAGTTTTGCTGTGAGGGGGTACAACTGATCTTTAAATTGTCTTTGAAGAAGAAAAGCCTTCCACCTTATCTCAAGTTTTGCTGTGAGGGGTACAATCGATCTTTAAATTGTCTTTAAAGAAAAAAGCCTAAAAAACCCTCTAAATTTTTTCTTGTCTTTGAAATTACAAAATAAAATAAAATAGTTTCTGTTGTAATCCTGACAATAAAATTTGTGCAGATCTAGAAAATATACCAAATTAAGATATATTAGTATTGGAAAACTATTTTGCTCTTTAGATATTAAAATAGTGACAAAATTTCAAACCTACCATAACTATCAGATCTTATTTATCCTCCTTCTCACTGGTACAGGAGATTGTTATGTATTGCCAGTGAAGTTTCCAAAGCAACCAACAAATGCACACATCTCTGTATCTAACTTTTAAAGAATGTCTTGTACATTAATCTAAAATTCAAATTGCACCAGCACGGGATACTGATCTGATCCAAGATAACCCAGTTAGAGGCAGGAAGTCATCAGAGTATCATAAGAATAAGCACCATCGTTAAGGCTAACAATGGTGTTGGCACTGGGAACCATTTGACGGTTGTGAAAAAGAATATTCCTTTGGCTCCCCGCGTGTCCTGATAAATTGCTGTGATAATGTGCTACCATCCGGAGGCTTCAACACCAGCACCCAGCTCCCCTAAATTGCTGTGATAATGTGCTACCATCCGGAGGCTCCAACACTCCGGCACCCAGCTCCCGACAGCTCCATAGCCACCTTCCACAGATAGTGGGGAAGATAACCTTTGGGGAAGGAGAAGGAAAACGGGAAGAGCGGATCAGAGAATAGAAAAAGGTTAAGATGACCTTCAAATTCTTGTCCTGGTTTCAAGTATTTTATTAGGTGAACTTGGAGTTTTTTCAAATAATGTTTACTTCTCCTATCTAAAAACATTTCCTGTGTTTCAGACGCAGCTTGAAATATGTAACTGCCAGCAGCAAAGTTTTGGGTTTTTTTTTAAAAAGATGTGTTGTCAATGTTGTAAATCATTTACTCAAAAGAAAGGAAGAAAAAAAGCCCAACAAAACAAAACAGAGGGAACTAACTGATTTGTCTGTCGTCTTTCCTGTCAAGATCGCCCTCGCCTTGGCTTTGGTCAGAGGGAAGGACTTTATGTATGAGTCATACAAATGCTTGGCAAGTGCTCGCAGATCAGCAGATTCAGGGTTTAACTGGTCGATGTCGCTGGAAATCTCTGCCAAGAGCTTCTCCTTCTCCGCTTGCGGCATTCGCCCGAACCTGATGGCTGAAGAAGACGACAAGCAATTACTACAGCTATCGTGGCACCTAAAAAAGCATATTTTAATAGCTTTTTGTGTCACCTTTTGTTATGAGCTCTTCAAATTTTTATTGCACGAGTACTTAGGCAAGGAAGAGAAAGATGATTTTCTCCAGTAATACAGGCAAACCAGCTGAAGCACTTTAAAGAAATGTAAACAAACAAATCTCAAAGAGGAAATAATTTATGTGCCCCAAGAGTAAGATTACAGTATCTTGCTTGGAAATGCAAAACTATTGTCAGCTCACCTGACGGTGAAAACCACTGCTTCTACCTCCAATCTAAATAAAATGTAAAGAATCTTTAAGATATTAAAGTTCTGTTGGCTTAGGGGAGGAACCACCGTTCCGCCTTGTATTGTTTTGGGCAAATCACCATATGGATCTCGGATTCCTCATTTGTTTAGAAACAAAATACTCACATGCCTTGCAGGAATAAATTCCTAAATAGTTCCACAGAACTTCACGTGGCAAGTGCTATGAAACGGTACCGAAAGAATTAAGGAATGAGAAAGAAGGTTGTGCAGGGAATAAAAAAAAGCCAGAAAAGGCTGAGTTGTTCCTGGTAGCTCTATGTGGCCACAGTATGGAAGGAGCATATAGATAGTGCTATGGTCTGGCAGTTCCTCCATAGCAAGGGCAGGCAGGCTCCAGCCCTCCCCCTCCAAGCCTATGTACTTACTACCCAACACACTAGTTATTCATGAGGGGACTGGCTTGGAAAATAGTTCCAGTGAGCCATCAAGAGCTGATTTATCAGATGATATTTCAGTAAACAGAATTTGTTTTGTTTTACAAAACCAGAACAGAACAAAAGAGCATCAAAACAAAAAACAGAAGGAAGAAATGAAGGTTTGCATTTTGGCCTTAAGAGGAAATAGAAATATTACAACTATATTTTCAGCAGTTAGTGTCTTCCCTGGATAAAATAAAAGTGCTGTTAAGATCATACATATGAATGATTCTTTAGGGACATTTATTCTGGAAACAACCAGCCCCTTTCCTTTTATGAGAGTGCTTGCAATGTGCTGATGGCCAAAAATGACACTTTTTTCAAGAATAAATAATTGCGTCCAAAACATAAAATCCATTTATCATCAGCTATGTTCATTGATCAGTTCTCTTCTTTCATGGCTGAAACATGGTTTTTTATTTTTACAACTGTACTACATTTCTCCTTCAGCAAACAGCCTCTGAATGATGCATGCTGTATAGTTCTTATTTGCTTGGGTATTCTTAGTGTCAAAATTGGTCAAAATAAAAATCATCATGAAAGGAGATCTAGATCAATAGGTACAAATTAACATACTCTATTTTTTTTTCCCTGAAAATGTTTGTAAATGCTCTTAATTTTTCATATGGGTAATATTGAATAATTGCCAACTGCTATTAGTTTTGATCATATATACCATGCCGTATATACGTTTTTCTCTCTCATGGGGAACACTAAGTGTTCTTAATCTGCTCCTAACAATGGTTTTCAGGGAGACATTGCTGCCAGCCCTCCTTATTTCTGAGAGCAAAACATTTAAAGAAAAATTATTAACTGGATATTAGTTTATATGACACACTACAGTGGCTCAGAGAGACTGACACTGGTCAGTAAAGTCATGTGACTGGATGACCATATGGTAATTATAGTGGTGTATAAAAAATTGGTAGGAAACCAAAGGAAAGTTCATATTTGTACTTAGTGTAACCTAAATAAATTGATGAGAAAATTCAGCATAACTACAAAGGAATTAATTCAGCTCCACTGGGACTCAAGACCATTTTTGTATTTTCATTTTGCAGTTAAAATGGATTCTCTCACTATTAAAAATTCTTATTTGTAGTTAACACTAATCCTAATTTAAAAAAAAACAAAACACACGTATGGATGTTGATAATATTAAACCTACAACAGTAATACCTGCATTTTAGACACTCCTGGAGATGTAAAATGAATGAAGTATAAAGTAATTAATGAAGTAAACAGCATGAAAACCCACTGAGAATACCTTATAGCATTTACAAATATTTTTTTTGGTGATACTTAAGGACTGATTCAATAAAAAGAATCAAGCTTTTGTGAACATAATAAAGCTAAAGTATATTATTACACAGATATCCTAAGAAGTTGTTATAGGGACACAAGCAGAACTAAAATGTGGGGTCCAGAAGGTGTTAAAATAATACAGTTAATAGAAGTGTTAAAGGTTAATTAGAAGTCCATGTTGAACAGTGTGGCTAGACATTTATTAAATTCATAATTTTGTTTAAAGCTATTATGTTCTTCACTAAACTTGGTTTCAGATTTAATATTAAATATTAAATTTGTGTCATTCATAGGAGTTTGTTTTATGATTAATTTGTCCAATTTGAAAATGTGTATTTTGCAATAACTTCATCAATAGAAAAAATCTGGTGATACTTTGATGCTTCTGATTGGGTTCCTGCCAACAAATTCAACTCCTCAATGCTTTTTTTTGAGGAAGAATTTGCAAACTGAAGAGCTAAATGAAGTCTAGCAAGACTTCTCAGACTATTACAGTGCACCTTTTAATCTGGAAAGAAGGCAAGGCAAATATTAGCCTCATATAAAGGACTGTTAATAAGAAAGGGAGATGGGAGTTGCCCATGTCTCTAAAATGTTGATCACTTTCAGAAATACATGAAGTGCAATTTATTGCAACCTGAAGAATTCTTCACAGGTAGTAAGAAACACTTAGGAACTCCAAGGAACATGTCCCTTGAGAGATTTCACAATCATATCAGGAACCAGGTGTTTAGGACCAGAAAAGTGCTCTGTCATGGTCAATCCTACTTTGGTATTTTATATGGAATACATTTATAACATCATATATATAATATCTTTGTAAAATGTTTACAACAAATTATGCATCCCTAATGGCCTGATATGAATTCTGTAAGCTCTTTCCGTAAGCATAGTAACTTTTTAAGCATTATGGAAATGGAGCTTGACTGAACAGCAGTGGGAGACAGGATTCTGTTGGGGGCCAGTCCTTGAGAGCTGCAGTTTGCAGAAGCGAGTTCATAATCTGGGATCTCGCTGCCATAAGGCTCCCTTTCACTGAGGTTATTTTTACAAGCAAGGGATAAAAAAAGGGGGCCGTATATTGCTTCCCCTTCCTATGTTTGAATATTAACTTAGCTCTAAAATAGTTTATACGCTTCTCCAAGGCATAAAAAACAATAGGAATTTGTTTTCTCCCTCCCCCCTGCCTTTTGTTTTTTCTTCTTCTTCCCTTCCTTTTAATCAAGGATCTACTGGAACATTTTTAATAACATACCACAGCGTATATACCACCTATGACACTGATTACTGAAATAGAACTGTTTAATGTAGAGATTTTATTGAAAAGATCAGGGATTTTCAAAACAGAGATTGTTTGGGCGTTAGAGAATAACTGACTAATGCAATTGTATCCTTTTAAAGAACAGAAACCAGACTGGGAACATCTTGCTAGAAGTTCATACCTGGGGGAATAGACTAGTGCTTGTTCCTTTCAAGTAATTTTGCCAGAATAGCGGGGGATAGGTTATTTTTAAAAACTTATGGCAGTTTTCAACATAAGTGGATCTATCTACAGTTGCACTGATAGCGCCAGTATAAAATAAGCTTACTTGTAGTTTTGAGTACAGAATGACAGCATAGTGTGTATATTCTGTTTTCGAAATACACCCTGATTCTATACCCCGATTCCTGTGCAGGGGCTCTTGTCTCCTGTCCAAGAGTCTCTTGGAAAGTAAAATTACAGTATTTGTGCTAGAAATTTGGTATTGCTAAACAATATATTTTTGATAGTTCTCTGTTAAAAGTTTACAATAGCACTGGTATAGAATTCATAATAACTGTGTTTATTTTTATGGTCATTTTTTTAATAGAAAATAAGATTGACTAAGGGCGTTCTAGAATCACGTTTCTGGTGTGCTTATCTATCCCCCCAAAAGGATACCAAATTCCCTTTGCAAAGCAGGCATGTGTTATAAATATAATGTAATTAATATAAATAATATAAAACTGTTTCCATCTACTGTTAATAGTTCTAGAGTAGGTGCCGCCTTAAACTTCTCATTTATATTTATTTTGCTTGTGATGGTTAGGCTTATTTCCCTGAAAAATGCTTTGAGTTTCTGCATGAAAAGTGCTATAAACCCCAAGTATTATTTATTACTTTGCTACTTTGCTTTGTTTCGGTGCTCTTCCTTGTTAGAGTCATATCTCATTTTTTGTTTCCATGTGTTTGAGAATTTGTGCTAAATTTTATGAACGCGAGCACCTTTATGAATAATCTATTTTGGAGTTAAAGCCAAAAGACAAATGATACATGATTAAAGCTGCATAGCAATTTGCTATATATTTTTAAGGAATACTTGGCATAAGTTAGGCACAGGGTCTCATGATGCTAATTTTTCTATGAAGATCAGATTCCTGGTTCCCTTTTAAAAAGAGATTATTTTAAATTCCTTTTGCGCAAATGAAAAAGGGGGGAAAAAAGACCCACAAAAAGCAAAATAAATGAACACTAGTGCCAAAGGTGACACTGAATTATATGGAAGCATGGTAAAATGCTGAGATTACTTCAAAAGAAACTTAGCATATATGTTGTTGTATGTTAAACTAGGTTATAAACACTGACTTCCATCCTTGAGCGCTTGTACCCTGCGATCAGAACTGAGTTAGATTTAACAGACCAAGCTCTCTCCTGGCACGGAAAGCGATTGCATCAATGGCAACTCAGTTCCAAACTCCTGCTGTTATCAAAGAATGTGCCAGCTGATTAACTAATCAAAGGGGTAGGCGGGGTTATCTCTGACTGCCCTAAAACCACTCCGGGTTGGTTTAACAACCCGCTGGAGCGGGATTGCCAGCTCTGCCATCACGGCGCTGCAGCCAGCCAGCCACCAGCAGAGTGTGTGCCCACCCAGCAGGACCCAGCCTTTGAAATACAGGAATGGGCTTCACCAAGAATGGAAATGAAATCTTACAGCTTTCTGGACTGCATAAAACCTTAGGGTGTATCTTGTTGTCTACCATCAACATCAGACTTTTACAGAAAATAATCTGGCAATAATGAAATCTCTCAGGAATCTCATAATATTTTCTCGTGTTTAGTGTGTGAAAATTGGGGTAAAGTTTGTTATGCATCATTATTTTTTTTATGGATTGTACATTTATTAGCAATCTATCATTCTTGCATGTGTTTGTTTCTTTCTAAAGGTGTGGTTTTTAGGATGGATTAACAACATTAGATCCTTCCTGATCCACTTTCAAACATGATCCTTATTTCATGAAATTATGTGTCTTGGATTGATTTCTGATACAATTATGAGAGTAAAGTTTCCTAAATATAAGGTGATCAGGATCCAAAAATATATTTTAAATGTAATAATTTGTTAACAACATAATGATAGAGAGTTGTGAATCGAAAACTCCTATCTTATAATTTGATAGGCAACAGGATTGTTTTCAGTTTTATTTTTTTTTTTAAGAATATATTTGTTAAATATTATATTAGTTGCAGCAGATTCTGTTCAATGTTTATTAGCATTGAAGGCAAAATTTGGGGCAAAATTCAATTTTGTGGTACTATTGGAGAAGTCGTTGTCATTTTCAGGGGACTGAGACAAAATTCAGCAAGAGGTCAGGCACCGGGAGGTTTACAGAAAATATTTGGAAAGAGGAGAAGTAGGAGGGATCGGTGAGACTTAGAGAGGTTAGAGTGGAAAAAGGAGAGTTCACAGTGTTTCTGGTGGTTGGGGAAGGTTTAAAGGACGGGTGGCATGATCTTCTCCCTTTTCTGCTCCTCTCTCCACATCCCTCCTGTGTCCCCGGCCCCATCTTCTATTTCCCTGGAGCACTTACCCTCCTTTGCTACTCCCTCTTCCCTCTCCTCCGCCTACCCTCACAGCAGGCCAGCCTCCTGATCTGCTGGAGCCTGGGAAGTGGCACTGGGCCGGGAAGGGCAGGGAGAAGCCAGTGCCCTGGTAGAAGAGGTGTGGAAACATGGCTTCAAGGCTGCAAGGGTGGAAGGGCTTCAGGTGGCAATTTCTTTCACAGGAATAGAAGATTGTGCAAGTTTGGGCATGTGCCCGCAGCTGGAACGTACCATCTCCCTCTCTCTCTCTTTCCTTGGGCAGTTATTTATTTACTTGCATTTACAATATTCTCCAAATGTCAGTGATATAAAACCTATAGTGGATCTAGTAAGACACTACATTTTAGATTATATTCTTTGCCTTTTTATGGAAAAACTAGGATATTTATCCTTACACCACATTTTATGGCTTGGAGAAGTCACTACGATCACTTACAGACTATAGTGTATAGCTCTCTACGCTTCTGATTGTCTAGATTATTTCTGAGCATAAATGAGTCCCTAGATAGACTATAAACACAGTTTCTTACACTAAAAAGCACAAGATAGAGCCAGGGCGGATACCTGACTGAGTTTAGTGGAGGCATGGAATAATTCACTACTCCCAGAACTGATAATAAAGATATATTGCCATGTGCGCTCTTTTTCCCATTACAGTCGTTGGTTTTATAGAAATAGTACTTCTAATAGAAGAGAAAAAAAAAAAAATTAATGAAGTTTCCAAATTGAAAGAACCAAGCTTTTGCTTAGTGGTACTTCAGAATACAATCTGGGCAGTTAAGGGTTAAACGCAGAGCAGCACTGTGGCTAGAGAAGGAAAGGAAAACAATATTCAAAGCATGAGAACACTACTGTCTTTTTTAACCTTCAGCCAAGTGGTATGGAGCGTTTATACGTGAAAAAATGTGGCTGTAGCTGCTAAGTATCTCCTTGCATTCCCCAGTTGGGTTTTGTTTTTTTTTTTAAGTGCCCTATTCATTTTGCAATAGTCCATCTCTGCAAAGAGAGTCACCCATTGGAACGCTGGGGCACAAATAATCCACATCCTGATTCCAAGCATTTAAATTCAGATAACTTCACTAGTCAAATGGACGTGCTTTAATCTGTAGATGTAACATAAAAGTGTGTCTCAGTGTCACTGACAGCGTCCAGTGTTGTGTTCCTGCAGATAACTTCACTAGTCAAATGGACGTGCTTAATCTGTAGATGTACCATAAAGTGTGTCTCAGTGTCACTGACAGCATCCAGTGTTGTGTTCCTGTGTGCTTCTTTATATAGCCCTGTGTCTTCAAAGGCAAAATTTAGTCCATTTTTATAAATTTGTTTATTAATAGGTGTGCTTCTTTATATAGCCCTGTGTCTTCAAAGGCAACATTTAGTTTTGTTTATTAATAAATGATGGAGGAATGAGGGTGTTGTTTCATGAAATGTACTGCAACCAGAGTGGGCAAAAAAAAGGCAAATGTAGAAGCCAAAACTTGAATATAGAGACTGCTACCTCCCCGCTGGGTGAACTCAGGGTGAGAGCAAATGGAAGAGCTGCTTCAAACCCTGGGCCAAGTGGCTTTGCCCTTTCCCTCTCCTCTCCATGCCTCCCCTGGGCACCTATACCCATGACCCCTGATGCTGCCACAGCTTCTGCCTTGGCAGAGGCTGAATGGGAAAAAATGGCAGGTGAAATGTTCATTTTAAAAATATTTCTCGGGCCCTTTATGTCACTAAGCCAGAGAGAACGGCCTTGGCCTTGCTCTTCTTGATAGAGCTGCACATGGTTCCCATTGACTTAATTGGAGGCCGTGTTGCTAGGTTATGGGAGAATTTGGCATCCACCTTGAAAATAATAATAATAAAACCTCCTGAATTACTATAAAAATACCCACAGTAGCATTTCAGAATTAGATTTATTTTTAAGTGTTACTGTTGCATCCCAGGAACTCAAAACCCATATTTTCTATTAGCAAAACATTTCCCATACCAATTTACATTCACTGCATGTATTAACTTCGCAAACCACAGTTAAGCTTTCCTCCTGGGGACAGTCCACTCTCTTTTTTTTTTTTTTTATACAGAAAATAATGAAAGTTCTAAAAAAACCGCAGAGAAATTATTTTCCCAGTCATGTTTGCAATTCTTTACCCTTAGAATTACATAAGTCTCTATGTTATGACATTTAATTCCTGTTTTTACTCAACTTTGCCAAAGCAAGGCAGCGAAGAATCTTCATTATGTCTTTCTGTCCAAACATTCGTAAGTAACTGTTTCCACATGAACCGATATGTTAAATTTTAAAGTTCTGAGGGACTTTCTCCTAAATCCAAGCGAGCGGTATCGTGATACGCACAGTGCAATCTGCTCCCCTAAGGCAACAGCAGGCCCCGACAGTCACAAACACCTTTGCCATCTAAGACTGGGACACACTGAAGGCTCATGGTGGGGACGGGACGCGCATCTCTGGGTGGAGGAGAGCTCAGGCCGTGCGTGTGACACAGGAATCACAGACACACACACACCCCGTAGGATGGGAGCCCCAGAGCTGAAGGAACATGCTAACAATGCTCCTACTTACCACACACTGGCAGCTACGCCCACAAGTGGGTAGCCTAGGAAGGAGGAGGAGGACAGGGGTTTTTTAAAACAGTACAGGGTCTGGCCCGTTCACTGAAAGTATGAGGAAGTGGTAACTTAGGGATGCTAACAGTCCTCCCTAAGTGTCCCATCCATCAAATTCAAGTTGTTATTGTTCACAAACTTTCAGTAAATTCTCTAGTCTGTTCTTCATCATTCAGTTTTCCACTTATAAGAAAGGGATATTGAGCTATGCTATGCAAAACAGTCTTGTCAGAAAATTAGACCATGAACTGAAAACTAACAATTATACCAGGAATATGTTCAGGAAGAACAACCGACATTGTAATGAGCAAGAACGATGGAGAGTAAACCCAACTCCTATGTTATATTATTATATTGATAAGTGCAGATCTCTATCTCTCTGATTTTAACATTGAAAGTAATCTCCAACCATATACATCGTCTCCTAAACTCAGAGGCAATCTCCAATATGTATTTCTAAACTGCCTGGTGTAAAGAAACAGAGGACTCTAGGTGTTAAAGCAGCACAGTCAGTAATCATATTAATGTTCCATGTTATTTTTTCGGATGAAACATGATTGTTTTAAAACATGCTTTGTGCACTTACCATTGTGTGACATTCCAACAGCGAGGCATTTCTGAAATCTGCAGTATTGACATTTATTTCTGCTTTTCTTATGGATGCGGCAGTTAAGATCACACCTGTCATAAATTAGCTTTAATCTGATTGTTCTTCGAAAAAAGCCCTGGAGTAAACACAAAAGCATACAAAAGGATGCAAGAAACTGCCAGTGCCATTGGCTCACATCTCTATACATACAGAGCACCTTTCTGTATACACACTGTGTCTGACTTTGGTTTTGACAGATTCCTTAAGGATCATACTCTGCCTATCGCTGGGCTCCTGTGCTGATCCCAGTGCCATTTCCAAAAGATTTATTTTCCTTTTTGAGCCTGAGTACTTAAAGAGAATTTACATTCTTTCATCTGTTTTATTTCTTTGTTGCCAAGTGCTGAACTAATTTTGCAGGAAATAAATATAATTGCATAATTGACAAAAGTAGAAGAAATACAGAAAAAATTCAAATAGATCAGTAACATTATAAAAAAAGCAAATTATATTTTAAAAGTCTCCCACTTACTAAGTCAAAGTATATGCAGTATACGTGGAACAATTTAAAGACACAAAACTTTTTTAAAAAAGCACAGATCTCTGATTTTACCAAGTGATTATTCAGATGAAAATAGAAACAAATCTTACTTCAGAAAGAACAGGTTTGTGACAACCCACCTTACAGCCCTCGCAGGCGTGCACGCCGTAATGGAAGCCAGAGGCCTTGTCCCCACACACACGGCACTCGATGGCCATCAGGGAGTTGGAAGACTCCTCATGAGGTTTATTGTACAACTGAACCTTCTCTGAAAAATAGGGTGGGGAGGGAGGCTCCAATTTGATTGCACCTGTGTATAGAGAAGATGGAAATGGTGAATTCAAACTATAACATGATACATAGAAGCAGAGACAGGCTTGGTGTCTTTAAATCAATCGTTACTGGTCATCGAAGAAAGCTGTGACATTTGCCACTTTACCATTACATCAGATCACGTTTCAGGAGCGGTGACAGACAGAGTACTACAATAAGGTGAATGTTTTTCTTTTCCAGACTGGCTGCACTTCACAAACTAGAAAGCTTTCTTTCCTATATAAACTTGAAGAAAAAAAGAAAAGCGGAAAATTATCTAAGTAAGGACAAAGAGGATTTATCCTACCTAAATTCTGCTGCACACTTTATGTGTATTACAGTATTATGGACATTTCTCATTAAACAAAAGAAAAACAAATTATTATCGGGAAAAATGTCTTTGAATTTATTTCATAAATAACCCATAGGTACACAGCACCTGCTTCCTACACAACTAAAATTAAATACCTCAATTTTCCTAGAAGGAATTCCCTGCAAGAATTCCTGTAGATATCACTACTAACAGAAGTGATCTCAGTAGGCTAAAACAGTTCCAGGCACAGCAACCGCACATTCCTACTACGGCACTCGATGGCCATCAGGGAGTTGGAAGACTCCTCATGAGGTTTATTGTACAACTGAACCTTCTCTGAAAAATAGGGTGGGGAGGGAGGCTCCAATTTGATTGCACCTGTGTATAGAGAAGATGGAAATGGTGAATTCAAACTATAATAGGATACATAGAAGCAGAGACAGGCTTGGTGTCTTTAAATGAATTGTTACTGGTCACAGAAGAAAGCTGTGACACTTGCCACTTTACCATTACATCAGATCAGTCTCAGAAGCAGTGACAGACAGAGTACTACAATAAGGTGAATGTTTTTCTTTTCCAGACTGGCTGCACTTTACAAACTAGAAAGCTTTCTTTCCTATATAAACTTGAAGAAAAAAAGAAAAGCGGAAAATTATCTAAGTAAGGACAAAGAGGATTTATCCTACCTAAATTCTGCTGCACACTTTATGTGTATTACAGTATTATGGACATTTCTCATTAAACAAAAGAAAAACAAATTATTATCGGGAAAAATGTCTTTGAATTTATTTCATAAATAACCCATAGGTACACAGCACCTGCTTCCTACACAACTAAAATTAAATACCTCAATTTTCCTAGAAGGAATTCCCTGCAAGAATTCCTGTAGATATCACTACTAACAGAAGTGATCTCAGTAGGCTAAAACAGTTCCAGGCACAGCAACCGCACATTCCTACTTTGAGGAGGAATATAGTAACAACTCAGTTAAGAATAGGGCTCTTTCTTTCTTAAAAGGAGAGTTCTGTGTCCTTTTTTTTCACTGTAACCAGTGAAAGAGCAGCATTGGTGGTAGTACATAGGTGACACCAGCGCATGGAGCTCCAAGGTGATGCCTGCATTTGGAACACTGACACCAATATTGTGACTCTGATGGAGCCAATATTTCTACACCATCATCTTAGGCTGTTTGGAATTTAAAAGCTACTCATATTAATAATTAATATGCTATTTACGCTGGGGAATTTTTTAACATCCAGGATATTTATCCTGCATTGTGTGCACAGAGCTTCAAAGGACAATTTACACACAAGATACATGAATCGGAGACCAGAGGTTTCAGAAACAAATGGTGGGGTTCATGTGTCTAATAAATAGAGTTTAATGTTGTTTTAGACACTTTATGATACCTTGTCTGATCCCCAACTGCTGCTCTGGAAAGGTGAATTCCCCAACTGCTGCTTCTGGAAAGAAGAATACTCTGCTATATGTATTCTGTCTCTTCTATCTGCCCTGCAAGAATATCTGGTGGACATCTCTGATGATACAGGATACCACCATTTAAACATCTGAATACTTGTAAATTCTTTTGCTGATGGTACACTTTCCAGAGAATGAAGCAAATACGAACATGAAGGAAATACTAAAGAAAAAAAATAAAATTAAAAGCATACTTTGGCAATCCTGGAGTTTGATATCATATTTATAATCAATTGTTGTCTGATCAGTTCTTGCGAGAGGAATATCTTCATAGTGTGGTGAAGAAATGCTTGAAAAATCAACGGTGGTGAATGGCTTTATGTCAAAGGAATGTGTATGGTCATCCATTGCAGACAGATCCACTGGACTAATTCCAAAATTAATGGGCCAAAACGGCATTTCTGTGTCAACCATTGTAATCCCTGAAAACAGAAAAAAGAAACAGGCATTTTAAAAGCAGCTAGTTATCTCTGTAATGAGTTCAGGCCCCAGCTGAGGTCCAGTTGTCTCCTGTCCAAAGGGCTGAGATGCAAACTCGTAACCAAGTGTAGGTTTTAGGGGAATGTTTAGGCTCCATCTAACATTTGGCTTGAGTTTGTCGGCATATAATGCATTAGGCTGTACAGTGACATTGCATGGGTAACACTGGGCAGTTAACCCAGCTTTCGGGTTCCTCTTAGGAAGGCTCTGATGCCTCATGTCAATGAGCTCTGGTGGCACCCAGGGCTGGGGCTACCCTTGGAACAGAATCACGGCTGCCTTTGGTTTGCTGCTGGACTGACCTGACCCCATCTGTACTTCAAACAGGTCTCACGGAACAAGGGTTAGATGAATGATTGACAAAAATACATATGGGAAAAATAACCTTCTAAATAATTATGAGTGGCCAGACGAGATCTAATCGCATGTTGATAGTACATTTTATAGAACGTTTATGTGCTTTAGTAAGCATACAAGTCATTAAAAAGACCAACAAACCAGTGATGTGAAATTCAAGTGCCATAACTGGAAAAAAAAAAAATTTTTTTTTAAACAGACCGATGACATTAACTTTAATTGTGCCTCTCAATAGCATGTATGTCACTAGAACTAGAAATCTGCCACAATTTTTCAGTTTTGCAAATTCTAATCATCATTCTTCCCACATGCCTGAAAATCTTAAACGTTTTTATATCAAGGAAAAAAAAATAGTACTTGGTATTAAATAGTGGTGGTTTCCTCCAAATAACCAGAAATATTTGAAAACTTTACTCATTCAACTATGTAAAAATTTTTATCGCAGACTCTTAAACCCAAGGCTCAAGGAAATTCAATTTATGACTTTCCGAATTCCATATGTATGCATCTAGATCTTGAAAGTAGTAAACAAATAAAAAGCTTCAATCTGCAAAAATCTTCAGCAAATTGAGTTAATTTAGACTGAGACCTCTCCTGACACTTAGCTGAACCCATATCCTTGATTTAGACATATTTCAGCTATGAAAAAGTCTGTAAGTAATGTAAGTAACAGCAAGTGTAAAACACTCACTGTTTTATAGCTAGGGTCTGTCTTTAATTTTCCGTGATTTATAAAAAGAACATTCTAATCTAAAAATAGAATAGATCTTATGGAACTAAAATAACTTGGTCACTTTGGCTGTTTAATTTGGACTTTAGACCCAATCAAGTAAGTAGCCTTTAACCTCTAGATAACAGGAACTTTGATTTGATCTATTTTGAATCAAAACTACTCTGTCACACTGCAGAAACTGCTGTTGCAAAATGAATATAATGCAACAGACCCGCTCTATAATTTTGACCTCATCCTTTGTTCTGCCAGGCTAAGGTAATTAAACCAGTGACTCTCCTCCCCAGCAGTAATGGCTAGAAATGGTTACAGTTCTCTTAACCTTTCCTCAGGAAAGTCACCATCGTTCTTCCACCTTTTAGGACTCATAGCACCACCCTCCAGTTCTTCTGCCTTCAACATTGACAACAAAGGGTGTAAGATACATTTCTTATTCTTCCATTTCAGATAAGAAATTCTCACTGCAGTGGGAAGAAAAGAGATGCTACTGTATCCCACGCTGCACAACACACATTGCCCCTAGTAGAGCAAAAGGGGAACCTATAGCTCCTTCATCCTGCCACTCCTATTACTATATGCCTGATAAAGTAGGGTTCTGTAAAGCAAAGATTGTTTAAGGGTGAACTCTTGGCAAGGTCAGCCTAAGGGTCCGCCTTCCCAAGGCCTTCAGCCATTGGATGGGATAAACAGACTCACGTTATCCTTCATGAAAGTAAGATCTGCCTTGAGCAAACAACAGAATTTCTAAGAGCCACAAGTGAAAATTATCCAGTAAAGTACATTAGAGGTTGTCAGAGTAGCTTGGTGTTATATAGTATCTTCCAAATAGTCAATTTTTCTGTAAGTATGAAGTGCAAACCCCTTGCCATCAACAATGGGAACGTACATTAGAGGTTGTCAGAGTAGCTTGGTGTTATATAATATCTTCCAAATAGTCAATTTTTCTGTAAGTATGAAGTGCAAATCCCTGGCCATCAACAATGGGAACGGTCTTCTGTAAACAGATTTCCAAATAAAGCAATAAAATAGAATAGACTCCTTCTTGAGAGTCCATTTTTGTAATTAACGAGACACATCTTTAAAAAAATAAAATCAACAGACATTTAGAACTTAAACATCAGCTTATATTCCTTTAAGCAAGTGACACTGACAGTTATGACCACCTCATACCTGGAGGGCTGCCTAAAGGGTGCAGAAGAAGGACGCCCAGAGGCACGATCCTGGTTATAGCCCAAGTCCATCCTGCGGAGCCCACAGGACTCAGTCTGTGCAGGTGCACCCACCAGGTCACTGTGCGGCCAAGAAACAAGGGCAGGTGGCCATGGCACCAGAGGGCAGGAGGACCCACAGTGACACCTGCCCTTGCACAGACACCCCCCTGCACTAGAGAAGCCACCGAAGAGGCTTGAGTGCATGCTGCAAGGGAAGAGCAAGCCTAAGGCACTCACTGAATAGAGATATACTTAAAAAAAAATAAATGAGATCAGCAGCAATTGATTATTACACACAACGCAGATTGCAAAACTAAGCAGTTTTCCTGCCTCCTCCATAAAAACTCCATATTCTCACAATCTTGAGGCGCTGTCACTTTGTATCTTCAATTTAAAAGACTTCAGTCTGCAAACCACTGTGAGCTGAACAGCAAGTTAAAGCTAATCTATATTTCACTTTATAACAGTGAATAACTGCCATGTTCTGAAGAATTTGATTATGTATAATGTGATTAATTCTGTGAAACTCCTGAGTCATTTTATATCACTGTGTGTGTGAAATTCACTCTATGTGGATATACCACAGCTTAGAAAAACTCAAACGAGCATGTAAGTCCGGAGGTCTGGGCTGCGGGACACAAACTCCAGAAGCTGAGAGGGTATCATAATTCCTTAGCAGGAATTTTCTGTTCTTACAGCCAGTAAAACTAACTTGTTTCAGCAAAGACTACCAATAATGCCAGAGTAGCTTCATGGTAAAAGTATTTCTAGCCTAGAACTGTGATAGGTTAGATTTTTATTAAGTTTTAGAAGAAATGAAATAAAAATAAATAATGAATACAAAGTAATCTGTTATTTTAACAACCACTTAATCTGAGGGGCTGTGTTCCATGCATACTGCTTTTTTCTTACTTTTTGGGGTTTTTTTGTGTGCATCTGTCCATATCGCACACACACAGTGTATGCTGGGAATAGAGGAAATAAAAATGCCAAGATTACACTAAAGAGAAAACCCGGGAATTGTGGGTGTACCTATCAGCTACTACGGGTCACAAAGTAATTCCATTTTATGCTACTCATATTTCTGCTCTAAGGCAATAAAATCCGGTATCAGGAGCCATTTACAATTCTTTGAGCAAAAACCTATAAACTCCACCCCTTCCAGAGGTTAACATCCCATGACTAGTAATACCAGTTCTTCTGAACTTCAGGCAACTAAAAAGGCATTGCTAAATCCTTCCACTACAAAAAATGTCTACTTTTAGTTTCAAAAAATCGTTGTCTATATTATTATTTCATTTAAGATGTCCACGAAGTTACCTAGCAGTGATATTATCCACTCACACATAGGTGTGCGTAGCTGAACTCCTCTGTTAAAGTAGGAGGTTCTGACATGGTAAAATGCCTTAAGATAGGATTTACTCAACACACACAAAAGGTTTGCATGTACATATTTAACTGCTTTCCTTCCACTCAAAACAGTTAACTGTGGCTATATTATAAATCTAAACTGACAAGGCTGTAGCTCTACAATTTCCATGGATTTCATTTCCAGGCCCAGGCTAGCACGAGCCCAGAACACCCAATCTCACCACAGCTGAGGAACATCCTGCCCCTCACGCCTCACGGTTTGGGAAAGTACATCTTGTCTCCAACCACAGCACCACAAGACAGGACAAGACAGGTGTTTCTATCCGTGTGTGTCTACATGGGGAGCAGTGGAGAACCTGTGGCTTCTACCTAATCTTAGCTTTCCTAATTGCTGCATAAAATAAAGCAAATTTTGTGCTTTCCCAGCTGTAAGGACTGTATTTCTACTACTTACTATGACATCTATGCAAGGAGGTGGTAAGGGATTATTTTCTTAGTATATTTCATAACAACAAAAGGACTAAAATATCTGACTTTCTCTCATCATGCACAGGTTTCTGATTTGTTTTTCTAATTTCTTTTTCCGAGATGCCAGTAATCTCAACGTTGCTAAAGGAATCTTGAAGATATCAGTGTCACAGATTCTGTGCTAGAGAATATCTAAGGTCAAATCAATCACAAGATGGCTGTTCTGTGCTTCCTTTCTCTGTTTCTGGATAACAAGATGCATATTATAGCATTTCTTTATCCAACAAAACAGCTAGGCATTAATGATCCCACATTAACATTATTCATAAACATTTCTGAAGGATGAAAATTTTCAGGTGTGCTCAAAGCATTTCGTTACAGTTTTAAAGTTTGAGTCTTCACATATGACTGCTAAGTCTTAGTCAAACTATGACTATCGTGTTCAATTTCATAAAATTTGCTATTACACTGGAAACAAAATGAATTTCACTGCTCAGTTTTAATTTATATTTTAAATACTAAAATGAAGAAAACCTTTCATGTGCTAGTTTTATTCTTGCAGTATTGAAAACTAAAATGTAAAAACTGTTCCTGTGTTTAATAGTTAGTTTACAAATATTTCTATTTTGCATATAACTATGCTTGGTTTCTGCTGTGTATTTTGTCTTTTTTCCTCCCCATAAAAGATGAAAGCCAACCCTTCCCTCTGCAAAAATATATTTAATTGTGGTCCTTTCATGCCTTTTTAAGAAAAACAAAACCAACAAACCAAAACATCCAAAGCACAAGTCCTTTTAACAGACT